ATAACAAAATGTTAATTAAGAAATAATGAGAGTTGACGGTATGAGGAGTTATTGTGAGGTTTTCAGTATTTGTTTATTCATTAGTTTTGACTAAAAATTATATTGTCTTAACATTCCCAATATGTTTTCTTCTCACTTCTTTCCACATTGCACTTAATCTATTTTTTCCAAAATATTGACTAAGACCAAAACAAAAGGTTATAATAAATATTATTATACTTGAATTTTTTGTATACTTTTTTCAATATTTATGCTAGTTACAGTTTGAAAAACAATATTATTTTAATTCAAACATTAAACTATTTAAGGCAAAAATAGCTTTAACGAAAAAGCACCCTTAGACCTCTTTCACTTTAATTTTTTGTATCCATAATAACTTTCATTCAATTAACACATTATTTTATTGTACTAAGGGAAAGTCGATAGAACTCTGATCATATTTCTTCACATTTTTTACTGATATTGTAAACTGCAATCTTTAATATTTGTTTTTAATGCACATTTTTTCATACATTTTTTTTTTTTTATTCTTAAAATTCATTTGCCCGCGGGCGCCCAAACTCCCCTTCCCATTATTATTTTTGAATTTATATTCTATCATATATTTTTATAATTTTTTTTTATTTTGATTCTTACAATTCATTTGCCTGCGGGCGCCCAAACTCCCCTTCAAATATTTTTTTGAATAATTTAACTCTATAGTGTAATTTTTTAAAAACATTTTTTTTTAATTTTGATAGCAAGTTAGTACCTAGAAATATTCACTGTTTCATTATCTAATTATTGAATATTTAGCTATAAGGTTAGGAATACTAATATTGTAGACTGCAGTCTTCAATATTTGTTTTTAATATAAATTTTTTTATTTTGATTATTACAATTAATTTGCCTACGGGCGCCCATGCCCCCTTCCCATTTTTATTTTAAATTTATATTCCATCACATTTTTTTTAATAATTTTTTTTATTTGATCCTTACAATCCATTTGCCTGCGGGCGCCCATGCCTCCCTTTCCATTTTTATTTTTAAATTTACATTCTATCATATTTTTTTTTACTATTTTTTTTATTTTGATTCTTACAATTCATTTGCCCCATGTTCCCCTTCCCATTATTATTTTTAAATTTATATTCTATCATATATTTTTATAATTTTTTTTTATTTTGATTCTTACAATTCATTTGCTTGCGGGTGCCGAAACTCCCCTTCAAGTTTTTTTTTCAATAATTTAACTCTAGTTCAATTTTTTAAAAACATTTTTTAAATTTTGATAGCAAGTTATTGCCTTAGAAAAATTCACTGTTTCATTATCTAACTAGCTCTTCGAACGTCGCTGGGTTAGACCCCCAGACCCCCCGTGTTAGCTGCCTGTGTTCCTCGATTCTATCCGTTGTGGAATCCACCTCCGGCGCCTTCGAGGTGTTCGAGTGAAAATCGTTTTACAGGAAATTCGAAAAGAAAATAAACCGTACCAAAAAACTGTTACTTGGAGTGTAGACTAGTCTTTGCTCGTCTACTGTAAGTGATAAGGATTTGTGATAAAGATTTGTTATAAGGCACTTTGGAGGTGTCGTTTCGAGGGCGGGAACGTTTGAATGTCGAGTTGGAGGCTCTAGAAATCAGCGGTTAAACTGGCTCGACACATCCAGTTTTGTTTTTTAAACGCGGAACCAAAAGCTTGAGTCGGAGCACCGTATTTGTGTGTCTAGCAAGTCAGTCACGTCAAGGTGAAAAATGAAAATCGATTAAAATATAATTCAGACATCTAATTAAGCCATCCGACTGCGTCGCATAGCCGACGATATGGACCTGCATTGGTCTCCCGGTGTATCTCGCTCCGTCAGTAATGAAGGTCTCTGTGCTATTCGCTGATGGTGAATACCGATGTCTGGACATCTGTCACGTACTTGGAAATCGGTGATTGAACAGACCTGATAGTTTAGACGGTCCAGTCTTGTGCTTTTATGAAAGTCAAAAATCGTAAATATTAAAGATTTATTTTAATGTTTATCAAGTCAGTCACGTCCACTGAAAATCGATTCACGTTCAACTCAGTCATTTAAGAAGGCAATCCGACTATGTCGGACAGCGGACAGTGTGTGCTGGCATGTCAGGTATGCGGACACATTGGTGGGCAGCTATAAGTGAGAATAGTATTTGCCAAAGCTTATTAAAGGACATAATACATTAGCCCGGTGGGATCAAACTCGCTTGCTGCACTGTTTCTTACAATACAAATTCAAAACTCCGGATCTACAATATAAAACCTTCTAGGCTAGGTATCGAATTAACTATACATATTAATTCTGATTTCACATTTTGTGAGCTTAACTGATTAATATACTACACCAATATACTATTATATTATGAGTTAACAACATTGACTGACCTACTCACCTTATTTGCCCTTATATATATTAACATATAATTGGGGGATTATTTGGTAGTATTATACTACTAGTATAGTCACAGTGGCTGAAAATAAAGGCTGATTTGATCGACGTCGTTAAACGTTGACCTCCAATTCTATTCTACAATTGAATATCCAACTACCAACATGAGCAACCTATGGTGACACAGAGTAGCTATTCTATAGGATTACCTTGTGACTATCGAGTACAAAAATAAAAACTCAAAGTAATATAATATATATTATTGAATTAAAAAAAAAAAGAAATATTTATAAATTGCATAGTTAGTACCTTAGAAAAATTCATTGTTTCATTATCTAACTTGCTATCAAAATTTAAAAAATGTTTTTAAATAATTGAACTAGAGTTAAATTATTAAAAAAAAAATTTGAAGGGGAGTTTGGGCGCCCGCAGGCAAATGAATTGTAAGGATCAAAATAAAAAAAATTATTAAAAAGAATGTGATGGAATATAAATTTAAAATAAAAATGGGAAGGGGGGCATGGGCGCCCGCAGGCAAATGAATTGTAATAATCAAAATAAAAAAATTTATATTAAAACAAATATTGAAGACTGCAGTCTACAATATTTGTATTCCTAACCTTATAGCTAAATATTCAATAATTAGATAATGAAGCAGTGAATATTTCTAGGTACTAACTTGCTATCAAAATTAAAAAAAATGTTTTTAAAAAATTGAACTATTGAGTTAAATTATTCAAAAAAATATTTGAAGGGGAGATTGGGCGCCCGCAGGCAAATGAATTGTAAGAATCAAAATAAAAAAAAATTATAAAAATATATGATGGAATATAAATTTAAAAATAATAATGGGAAGGGGGGCATGGGCGCCCGCGGGCAAATTAATTTTAAGAATCAAATAAAAAAAATTAATGAAAAATTGTACATTATAAACAAATATTAAAGATTGCAGTCTACAATATCAGTATTCATAAACTCATAGCTTTATTTTCAATAATTAGATAATGAAACAGTGAATTTTTCTAAGGCAATAACTTGCTATCAAAATTTAAAAAATGTTTTTAAAAAATTGAACTAGAGTTAAATTATTGAAAAAAAAAACTTGAAGGGGATCATGGGCGCCCGCAGGCAAATGAATTGTAAGAATCAAAATAAAAAAATTTATATTAAATACAAATATTGAAGACTGCAGTCTAAAATATTAGTATTCTTAAACTCCTAGCTTTATTTTCAATAATTAGAGAGTGAAACAGTGAATTTTTCTAAGGTAATAACTTGCTGTCAAAATTAAAAAAAATTTTTTAAAAAATTGAACTAGAGTTAAATTATTGAAAACAAAATTTGAAGGGGAGTTTGGGCACCCGCAGGCAAATGAATTGTAAGAATCAAAATAAAAAAAAATTATTAAAAAGAATGTGATGGAATATAAATTTAAAATAAAAATGGGAAGGGGGGCATGGGCGCCCGCGGGCAAATGAATTTTAAGAATCAAATAAAAAAAATTAATGAAAGATTGTACATTATAAACAAATATTAAAGATTGCAGTCTACAATATCAGTATTCCTAAACTCATAGCTTTATTTTCAATAATTAGATAATGAAACAGTGAATATTTCTAGGTACTAACTTGCTATCAAAATTAAAAAAAATGTTGATGCGAGGTAATGTAGGTATTATATAAAAAAAAATCACCACATTATGTCAATGTAAATTTTTGTCATTCTAACTTTGAACGAATTTTCTATGATAATCAGAACATGTTGACACCAGTGGCGCAACTAGGGGGGTGCAAAAAGGTCTTTAGCACCCCCAAGTTAAAATTTAGCACCCCCTGTTTTTTATATCTAACTTTTATTATTTTATTGAAATACCATGAATGTTATGTTTTTAAATATTATGATAAATTTCCTGAAAAAATATTTAATTATTTGGTCGTAAGTCTTATAATATAATTCATTCTAATTCATTCCATACACGGATATTCCCATAATAATAAAGCAAATAATAAAACTGGTTAAGATCAAGTATGCTTCAGCAAAGGTTTACCAATTTATCTTTGCTGAATATTGAAAAAGATTTATTAAATCAGCTTAACACTGAAACTATTTTAAATAAATATTGTATGAAACCTATAAAAATTATGCTAATTTAAAATGTATTATATATATATAAGTTATTTACTAACAAAATTATGAAATTATAATGTATCCTTATGTTACTGAAATTTTAGCAAAAAAAGTATTATAAATTTATTTTCTTTTATTTATGTGAAGTGTGTTAATATATGTTTTAAAATGTTGAATTACCGAGAATTGCAGGCTCATGTGTAGGGGGTGTGGGGGGCGAAGCCCCCCACTGCTCTGTGGTGCATTCACATATTTAGCACCCCCTGTTTTAGAGGTCTAGTTGCGCCTATGGTTGACACACGATACTACGATAGAGTACATATAACGACTTGGATATTACAGGTACAATACTGATTTCATGACTTAAACCGTGGACGACTATCGGAGTCTACTACAGATTCGACAATGGTTTAACAACTTATCATTGTTACGCGATTCGACTATTCGAGACAATAAATTACAAAATGACTGAGATTGTGATTATTCTACTTATTATGTTGTATTTTAAGTTATTACAACAATATTACTGTGCGCACAACAAATTTATTCAATGACATAATTTTAGTGGACGAACGGAAACACGGTGTTACTGCGAGGGGATTTGCGGCCACTGCCTTTGCCAGTGCTGCTACTACTCGTAGCCATCGTGCAAGTCCGGGCTGGGCGTTGCCGCTGCAGGACTAGTCGCAACAGTCGGCGGTGCAGTCTTGTGGACCAGCAGATCTCGACGACGAGCACGGCGGACGCGACGGCATAGCTGAAAAACAGGAACAGGAACGCTTCCTTGAGCCGGACTAGCTTGAGTACCCGGCCGCGGATCTTCTCCAGCGGCAGCACCTTATTGGAACCCAAGTGTGTGATCCAGTGGTCGACGATGCCGGTCTCGAAGAGCGTACTAAGCACAGCGTTGACCGGCTCGATGAGGTACGAGCCGCCGTTGAACATGAACTGCGTGGTGTGCGTGCGCAACAGACAGCCGGGCAGGAACCGTATGGGTATCTTGACTTTGATGCGCTTAGCCTGGGGTATGGAGTAGTAGTACATGAACCGCTTCACTTCGAACAGAGCGATGTCACGCTTAACCACCAGCCGATCGATGACTAGCTCGAAGTTGGTGGGCGGCAACAGCTGGAGCCGCTTCATGAACGTCCGCGATATCCGCGTAGTGGCCGTCGTCGCGTTCATTATGTGCATCGACCGCGGGGTGGCCATCGTGATCAACGCCGAGTCCAGGATCTCATCCATCCGAGTGAACTCTGCACCGTGCGCCGGTACCGTCATGAAGCTGCCCAACGACGCTTTGTACGCCACGTTGATGACCATGCAGTACCACAGCCAGTGCATCATGAACGCCCGGAGGCTACACCAGACAGGCAGCACGCCCAGTGGCTGGTCAATAGCAGTGCGGTACACGAAGAACACCACAGAATCCACGCGGTGCAACTTTTTCAGTTTTCGGAAGAAATGGAACACGCCTGTAACAATTATACGCCAACTAATGCAGTTTATTACTTTATTGTTATTTTATTGCCGCTTTGTGTCGTCTACACTTTTGCGGGTCTGAAATCGGGGGCCAAGTGTACGACAAAACTAGTGAATCGTGTCCTGTATGGCCGTATCCAACCCAAGCATCAACATTTAATGGTAGGTAAACCTACCTATAATTAATTATTGGGGGACGAAGTGGCTGAGCGGATAACGCATCGGTTGCAACACGCACCGTCGTCGGTTCGAACCTAGGTCACGGGCGGCACTTCTCTCCGGGCAGTCATGGTGTCTAGAGAGAGGCCGCCATCCCCCAATCGGGCATAGCAGAAACCTACGGGTGCCCACTAGAAATTCTGCTAAACAAACACACACGTTTTCCATAACCCTACAGTACCACAACCTACAGGCCAAGCCAATGGCCTCAGTTGCCGAAGCTTAAAAATAATTTAAAAAAAAAAAATTTAATTATTATAAACTATCCTAAACTTAAGCAATGTAGCATAAAACAATTATATTTTTAATTTAATCTTGAAAAAACCTTCAAAAATATGTGGTTGTTTATTCGTATATAGTAGGTACCTTATACCAATACGGCCTATGGTACAAATGTACCTATCACCATTTTTCAATTCTCTTTATCTAATATAGAGTTGAGAGTAAAAAAGGCAAAAAATCATTATTGGTATATTGATTTTATTAATACCTATAACTATTATTACCAAAAATATTAAATTCAAAGAGTTTTAAAAATTGTATTTTATGTGTCGAAAAGGAAAAAAAGTGAAATATAGGGTGACAATTATAGTATAAATAAAACATGTTACTCCCATCGCAGATTACCAAATGTTTTTAAATAAAAATATGCGGTGCTGATATAAAAAAAGAAATTTAAAAATTAATAAAAAAGGTGGACTTCAGAACTCTAAATGATGAAAATAGAAGATATAACTTTTTATGTAAACATTTTATGGTTTTAAAAACAAAATATATAAATATGTAGAGCTAGAATAAGAAAGGTGGAATTTGGAAAAATTGTTTAAGCAATAAATTATCCTTATTCGTACCACATTCAAAAGTTGTTATAGTACCTACTTAAGTTAAATATTTAAAATTAATAGTCAGTAATCTAATATTTCAGTCCAATAAGTTGCCATACAATTTATAATATTTCATCATGTGTCAGATACTTAGACATCGGTCATGGTTGTGCTAGCTAATGCACTGCTAACTTAATGAAAGTTACTAAATAATATAACCGCTGTTACGACTCTTATATTGATGTACCTCAGGTCCTCAGCTTTGGACAACTAGCAAATTCTGGGGATAGACTCGCTAATTCTATCAATGTAAGACTACGATACTGTTAGTAGGTAGGTACCATTATTATTAATTACCAATCGATTTGACTCCGATTTGAGTAAGGTAGGTCGTGGGTGGGCCACCCGAAGTTGGCCCACACACGAATAGAAGGGGGAATAGTAATAACTAACAATTCCTGGGAACAGGCTCACACCATTTTGAACTTGATATCTTGTAACGTCGGTGGGTGAACTTCATGACCATATACATGTAGACACCTAAAAGCTAAAGTTTATACCAGGTGCTAAACGTTTTCGACAGACTTGCGATGTCTCTGAACAATGCCCGCTAATCGAACGGCAATAATTAATAATAATAGTAAAATTGATAACTTCTTAACTAAGCAATTACCAACAGCAACTACGAACATCGAGCCGATGAACAACCATCCGATTTTGTCGAACTCGTAAACGTAATTGGTCCAAGACTGCGGCGGAGGGCCGGCCCGGTACGGAACTGCCCACCCCAGACAGTCGATACTCGTAGTCCTAGCCAGTTCAGTGTTGAACGCACTGTTGTGAGTGGCGTACGAGTACCAGCCAAACGCCAAGTCGGCCTCCTCCGAGTACAGCATAGCCGTTATGTTGTCTAACACTTCAGCGCTGTTGTACCAACTGTACATTTCGGACGCATTACCCTTCGGTGACATGATGACCGGCGTGAAGTTCATGTGCCTGGCCACGATCTCTAGCACCTTGCCGCCGACGCCGGACGTGGTCCACAGCGGACGCTGTGCAGTGCCGTCGCCGGGCCGCAACACCGTGTCGGGTGGGTGTTCGTTGCCGGCGCACCGGAGCGGACAGCCGAGCATGTTACCGGTTTTCGGCTTTCCGGAGAACAGGTCGGTACCCACACTGAACCGTCCATCCACCCACCGGTCCAGTAGCAACGGCCGGCCCAACTTGCTGCACCCGTAGTTGGAAAATGGCCGGTAGGTATACGCGTTCACGCCACCCTCGTCCATCCGGACCAGCCCGACGACGTTTACATGCTTTCCCGCGTCCCAAAAGAGGCGGAACGTGCGCCGGATGTTGTTCATGGGCACCTGCCTCGTCCAAACCGCCAGGAAATAGCTCCGCTGCGTGGTGTTCAGCAGTTGCGTGTACAGCCTGTCCTCGGCCAGGAACGCGAACACACCACCTCTCGTCTGCTGCTGTGGCGGGGCGTCCACGGTGAACGACGAATATGGCACGATCACTTTGGGGCTTTGCACGGCCATGGCGAAAGCGTCCACTGCAGCCGCGTACTCGGTTGTTCCAGACCGCCGGAAATACATGTAAACGGTCCGCCGGTCAAAATACGTACGCGTCACGTTCGCCAGGCAGTCGAACAACTCGGCAGTGTACTCGCCACCGCTGTTGTTCTGGGCAACAACCGCCGACATCGAAACCACGTCGGCTAAAGACGTCATACCCGCAGCGACCGCGGACATCGCAAAGCTTAGGAACGACAGCACAGCTAACACCATTGCCGCAAATCAAATCCTTGACTCCGAGAAGTGTTTTTGGGGTGGTTTGTCGTCAGCAGCTATCGAGGCAATAGCAGAGGTGCCGAAAAAACACGGCAACAGATATTAATTATAACAATCGACACTTGACTCGTATTACGACTTGACATTGAGTAATTAAAATAACACCATAATCAATGATCATAAACGTCACTCATTGACCGTTGTTGAAATGCAATTAAACATAGTGCGGCGGTTTTGAGCATAAAAATATGTTTTTAAGTGGATATATTTTGTTTACCAAGCAGTGCCACAGGAATTGAGTCATTCATTAATAATCACTCACTATTAAATTTTTAAAGTGCCGAGGGATAAAAAAATAATCACCAGGAAAAAATGTTTGTCTTTCTAGCAAAATATATTTTTTTTTCACAAAAAAACTATGGTTCACATTTAAAATATTTATAAAATAAAATAAGATCAATATAATATATTTATGTATAATATTTGTAGACAATAAACTAAAACGTTTAGGAAAAATGTATACAACAAAAAAAAAATATGTAATATAATAATAAACCAAACATAAATTTTACATTACTGAACGCGTTGGGAACATTGAACAAACTCTTATTTAAAAATTCAACAATATAAATATACAGCTTATATAATATTCTCATATTGCACGCCTACTATAAAATAATAACGACTTTATAAAATTATTAACTTACAGATTGTTTTATGTTATTCCGATTGAGACAAACTACAAAGCGATATTGTTGCCTTACTAAAAACAAGAAGCACAGAAAAAAACATCATAAAACACCCTGTATATAGTTTACTGTCATTGTAAGTAGCATATCATTATTTATTTAATAAGTTATAAATAAACTAAAATGAACATTTTGAATGAGCAAGTGCAATTTACAAAAATAATTTGTAACAAAATTTGAACACTATAACTTAAGAACAGTGTGTAATATATGTTAAAAAGAAAATAGCGGAAAATTCAACTTTTAGACATAGTCATAATTTTGTGTACTATATGCAACAATCATTAAATAAAAGCAATAAAAAAAAATCATGCATCGCTCGAACAAAAATTTGATTATACAGTTTTTTACAGAAAAACATATATTACACCTTCCAAGAATACAGCTTACTGAAGGATTTTACAGAAAAATTACCTACTATAAAAATTATGAAAGAAAATGTTATCAATATGCATAAGAAAATCAATCTATGATATCCCATTACAATCAAACAGTATTTTAAGATAAATTTTAATGTTCTTAGTTTTTATCTTTAAAATTAATAAAAATATCAAAAATGTTTGATTTGTCACTGATCCAGATCAAATTAATCTCAATAATTCGTATGTGAACTTGGAAGATGTAAGACAAGTTTTAGTAATTATATACTATTGTGTCCTCGTGGTAAGATTATAATTTATTTGCTAGCAATAATTCATCAAAAAATACATTTAATTAGAGAGCATAATATACTAATATTACCATATTTTACAAAATGTTCACATAAGTAATATGGCAAATAAATTTTAGAAGAAAATATGTTGTATATCTCTCAAGTCTCAACGTATTTCAATTTTTTTTAAAAAGCTTTAAATATTAGGGTAAAATAAAACAACAAATAAATGGTCTTTAACAAAAAAAAAAATTTAGTAATAAAAATAGCGAGCACCAAATATATAGTACAGCTAAATAAAACTAATTTTAATTTAAAAAAAGTTAAATTTCATAAGTTTATTTAATATAAAAGTACTTGGTATTTTGTAGCAAAATTATTTTACTAATATTGTATACAACTTATGTGTATTTAAGTCATATTCATGATTTAGTTAAAACAAAAAAATGACACCTTGATACTAGACAATTAAGTGTATAAAGCATGTTGGCTTATGAAACAGATGATATAGCGTTGTGAGGGGATCCCATGGCACATAAAACTTTGTCTAACCATTGTAATGGCCCATTTAAATGTATCTCAATCCAACAAGGTGTGCTAGTAACATCTTGTCTATGATACTCAGCGCCCCAGCCTTTCACAAAAGACATCCTAAACAGAAAAATTAATTTATACTTAATAATTGTACAAAAATATTATTAGTAGTAAATATTTTGGTACTTACCTAATTGTGCACATTTTTGTGAGCTCAAATACAGCTTCATAACCTGAATTCACAGATTCTGTGAGTAAAGTTGCAAATTGTTGATTGTTGAATATACGTAAAGAACATCCAGCTGGTATCTTACACACAGTTAATGGATGAAAATTATGATGGTGATTGCAGTTACGTGACTGTACAAAAACTGCAGAGTCTGATAAACATTCTGCGTATACTTCACCGCCAATATAATGCAATTGAATCCCTAAATTAAATTAAAAATAAATAATAACAAATTTAAGAAGGTGTTTAATTTTAACATAGTTGATGATTTATTTAACATTTAATTCTTTAAAATTAAAAAGGTAAGTACAGTGATTTTTTTTAACGGATTTACACAATGTATTACTAAGGTTAAGATTTCATATATTATCTCAATTGAATATAAAATACTGATTAGATTTCACTTGTTAAAAAATGATTTAACTTTGTTTATCACATTAATTTGAGTAAGTTAAACTATGTTTGAGTGTGGTTATTTGCATAGGAGTAGCAATGTCATGTAATAAAAAGGTAATTTGTATACTAGGCACAATTATTCGGACAGTATATATTTTATTTTTTAAAAACGTGAACATTTGAAAAAAGTATAAAAATATGTATTTAATTTGTTTAATATTTGTAATTATAAATATAAATCTGCATAATGAATGCTATGTTTATTTAAATTAAAACTTTTTCATTTATTTTAAAATAGTAAGCTGTCTATTCATTGATATTGTGATATTTTAATTTTTGAATAACGATTTCTAATAATTCTTTTTTTCAAGTTTTATAATGCATTGAGATGCTTTTTAGTATACATTTTACCAATTTAGGTTTGTGTTTCTCGTAAAGTGATAAAGCTGAAAAGCTAAAAATATTTTGAGAAGTTATAAGTTCCGACCAATTATTTTCCAACAAAATATAGTCCTCTGTTTATACTTGCCTAATTGTACGTAATAATTTGTTATTGCTCCTAAAGTTCAAAGATATCTAATCTAATAGTTCATCAAACTACTTTTTTTTATATACAGAGTGCGGCAGAACAGACTGACGAGTTTTGAAAGGTTATAAAAAATTAACCGTAAAACTTAGAGGAAAAAAATTTTTTTTTAAAGAAGTATAATCCCATTTTTCAAAATTATTGTTTGAAAATTATCTCCAAGATGAAAATGTCAGACATCACCCACACACCATAGAAGATCTTAAACAGAAAATCACCAAGGAAGTCGAAGCTTAACCAGTCAAAACGTGAGAAAATCATATGAGAGCTTCAGAGATCGTCTACAACAGTATATTGATGCTGACGGCCGCCATCTTGGAGATATAATTTTCAAACAATAATTTTTAAAAATGGGATTAAATACTTATTTTAATGAAAAAAAAATTTCTCTCTCAGTTTTACTGTTCATTTTTTATAACCCTTCAAAACTCATCAGTCGGCTCTGTCATGCCCTAGTTACTTGTTGAATGATATATTCTGTTACTATTACATATCTTTAACTATTATTATTTATTTATAATTATTATTGTTTTTGTATATTTTTTATTTGTATAAGCCGTAATATTATTCAATGAGTATTTATCAATTTATTTAAACAAGTTCTTTGAAATAAATCAAAAAGTGAAATGTTAAATAAATTACTATTAGCCTTACTTGGATCTTGTATGTATATTTAAATATATTACCTCTTCCGATATGTCGCCTAGTGTTTTCAATTGTTTGATTTCGATTCACATTAGAAAGTTGTCCAAGGCAAAATCGGTTTAAATTATTACTTGGATTGGTGAAACCATCCACAACTACAACAGGAGATTGACAATGAAATAGTTCTCCAACTCTACTATTTAATTCATAGTATGCTATGCTTGCCCAACTAGCTTGTTCCTGGTGGGTAAACCATTTTTAAGTAAGTTATTTATTAAAAAACTTAATTTTAAAAGTTGTTGTATTTTACTTGGTACAAAACTTGAGTTCCAGATGCGGGACTCATAGCTTTTTCATCAGGCCCAGGAGAACTTCCTAATTCTAAAAATATTTTAAATATGAATAGATATAAGTTCAAGTTATAATTAAAATTTATGAATAAGTCTATTTACCTGATAGTGCGCTGCTCTGAAAGGGACTGTTTGGTGGAGGACTTGATGATGGAGAATTGGGTCCTTGATTATAATTATTGTATTGAAGATTTTCCGGCATTTGACGGAACATCATAGGGGGTAGCTGACTTTGTCTTGGTACCAATACAGGAGGTAGGACTGAAAAGTAAATAACAAAACTTGTAAGATTAATAAGTCAAATATTGTGCTGGTTAGTTTTAAATAAGTTTACATCCGACATTTGTAAGTATATAAGTTTTTTAAACATGAAACAAGTATACTCTATTCCAAATAAATTTGGAAAAACTGTTGAGCCTCGCAGCAGTAAGACTGCTGTAATTGGCCAGTAGTTGGCAGCCAACAACACTGTAAGACACGTTATCATCGGGATTTTTTTGAAATAGAGTATAGGTATAATTTTTTTATAATATAATTTTTTAAGTTGGGTAAGTATACTAACTAAAATATTATAGTATAATAATATCTTAATACTATGATCATCTCTTTCAATTAGGTAACATGTAAATAAGTTAAATATTTAATTTAAAATAAATATTTACATAAATCCAGTTAATTGCTTATAAGAGAAACAATAAAAATAATAAATTGATCTACTAAGTAATTCATAATGAAAATTACTGCTAACATTAATATTGTTACTGTACATCTTAGATGAGATATTGAAACAAAAATAATTCAATACCATGTTCTCAATCAAAACACAATTATTGCTTTTAACTTTTGTTAGTCCCTTAAGCAATATAATAATTTGTTTAAATGAATCAGATTTGACTTACCAGGACTTTCAACACGTTTGTAGTGATAAGGATTAATACAAACATCTTTCTGTTTGTTTTGAGTAGAGAACGGAAATTGACAATGGTCAAGTGGCTTAAGCTCATGATGGGTTTGGAGATCTGGCCATCGCCATACACGGCAGTATATGACATGAGGTAAACTCTTACGATGAGACACCTGAACAAAACACATAGCATGTACATTACCACGATAGAAATTAAATATCCACAGCCAGTTTGATTTCGGTGTAAGTACCTGTAGTCGTCCATCGAGACTTCTCGGTATGGTGACGCACTTGCTCGGCTGTCCAGGACAGCTGAGCGCTTTTTCCAACTCTTCGATGGCGCCTTTGGTTTTCTTTAGTTTCTTGACAAGTGCATCGACTGCTTTTTCAGCCCATTTCTCCTCTTCGTCGCCCTGCTTCCAGCCCAACAGTTTCTTAACGGCCGGGCTGGTAAACGAGAACAGGCTGTTTATCGACGAAATTGTCGACGACGAACGACCCGAATCGAACTCGTCCACCTCCATTGCACGGGAGAACGAAATGTAATAAAACACACACGCACGGAAATATTCGAAGACCAGAGGACCTTAGACACCAGATAAGTGGACAACAGACAAGAGCAAGTACTAACTACTAAGTAGTAAGTTCTTATATTATTTATTTATTGTTATTATTGTTGTTCGGGTGAAGAGAGAAAGGAAAACGCGCATCATTGATTAGAATCCAACGGTGGACGGTGGCGGCTGTTCGGACGGATACGTTCCGGAGCAAACCGCGGCAACGCTGTTCGAAGTGTTACACGCGCATTTGTTACGGTCCCCGGACTGTGCGTGCGCTGCGACGTTGCCGGATTTTGCGTCTCAGCAGGTGTACCGTATCGTCGTTTTTGGGGACGTCCGTACCGCGAAATGTTCGATTTCAAACCACGGCCACTGGTAACGACAAAACTTTTACCGGCCGTTAAATACGACGACAAGCTCGCGCGCGTTGCGGCTTTCGGACAGCGCAGTATAGCACAAAACCACGTTGAGCGCGTGGGACAGTCGTCGCGCTTGTTGCTCGCCGTCTTGTGACTATTATCCCAAACGATTATATTGTGTGGTAGCCGCAATAAGTGTAAATCGCGGACAAAACGTGTCGCCGGCGATAAATGCTCTTCCTCACTGCAGTCGCGGTAGCGAGAACGGACTAGTTTCGTACGCACGCGCGCGCGAGTTCGAAGTAGGTACAACACGTTTCAGCGGCGCTTCAGGTATACGAGACCATACGAGTATACCATAGGTATTAGGTACTATGTGCGTACATTTTGCTGACGAGGCGGGTGGGAGCAGCCGACTGGCGCCTGTACGGTCCAGTCCGATTTTCCCTTTTTTTCCTCTCTGCCGACACGGGTATTATATTTTATTGTATTTTAGATAATATAAAGTGATAATCGACGGATAGAATATTATATTTATATAACGTGTACAACATACGAGTATGACAACAATAATATTATGTACTGTGTTTAGCCTTTTAGGTACGAACTACTAGTGTACAACGTGATGTATGTTGTCCACACTATTTTCTCGTACCCCGATTATCCACCCTCCTGGCACTAGGTGTGTAATATGCGACACATGGAACAAGATATAACTCATTTTTATATGTATATGCTGCCTGCAGGGTCGAACGAAAGAGAACGACAATATATTTAATATTTATGCATGTGTACTGTGTAGTATGTACCTATAATACCTATATATTATGCACTTTTATAGAAAAAAATAGGGCGTCATCCTCCTCGAATTGCGGAGTAAAAATTACCTGAAAAAAACCCCCCAACCAAGAATCCCGGGAAAAAAATCCTCAGATTACAATTTTCTCACAAACACATGCAAATTATTGAAAAGATATTTTAAACACTAATAAGTGTAATTACCAACATAATTAATATTTAATTACAAATATATATATATATACTTACAGTGTAGTAGTATATACTTAAAATGTAGAAAATGTTTAATTTGTATAACTATAAGGAGTAAGGAGTAAGGAAATAAAATATTACGTTTCCCATAACATTTTGATGATAATGAAAATATAGTCTTATTAGAAGGTGTTTTTTTCAAGTTTTACTTTATATACATTCTAGATACCTACTTAATAGATTATGAAATAAAAATAATTATCAAACAACAGTTAATGAATGTAGGTACTCAAAGTTAAAAATATTTCAAATAATACAAACAATAATAATAATAATAATGAAATTATATCAAAATATTATATAAATGTAGATACTCTCAGTTAAAAACATAGCATAATAATATATACATATTTCGAATGATCAATATACGTCAAATAATACAAATAATCATCTTATACTATAGATTATCAAAGGTACACACTATAATGTGCTACACCGTACACAGGCGCGTCCCCAAGGACGGAGGGACGGCGAAGGGGCGTTCGCCCCTGCCATAACAATTTAAATTTAAATGATCAAAATTATTTTAATTTACCGTTATATCTAAGAAGAAAAAAATAAATCTCTACAAAGATAATAATCAATAAGAAAATTATGGGTGTAGATGGAGATTTTAGTGTACACTGTAATAATTTGTATCATACAAATGCTGTACAAGTTGTACTTGATTTTTTGAATACATTTAAAAACCCACAAAATGAAATAGTTAATATTTTGAATTATTATTATTGTTATTATTTTTTTTTTTAATACATAATAATCTTTATTATTATTAATATGTATAATATTACAATATTTCATTGTATAATTGTATTTATTTATTATTATTATTAATACGTATAAAATATAGATTTTAAAAATAGGTACCCCCCCCCCCCCACCTTGAAAACTGTCCAGGGACGCCCCTGACCGTACAAGACAATAGGTAACATTTAAAGTTCTTAATACATATATCATAATATTAATCGGAATTTGTAGGAAAAATAAAAAATTAATTTTACATAATTATGGGTACAAAATATAGTATAAAACAAAATATTATTAGTAGTTATACATATATTATATATAAATTATATATTTGTTATTAAATATTAAAAAAGATGGTAATTAGACCCTAATTAGCATTTAAAAAAATATTTGTTCAATCATTTGCATGCGTTGTGAGAACAATATTGTAATCTGGTGATTTATTTTCCTAGGGTCGGAGATTTTTTGTCTGGGAATTTTGGTCAGGGGTTTTTTTCCCGGGTTTTTTATTCCGATTAACTCCTGTCACACATATTGACCACGTGGTTGATTTTTGGACCCTTTCTATACTTGCAGAAAGTGCATATAGTATTGCTGTAGTACATAGGAAACGGAATTTGATTTTAAAACAATTTATTCGACGATTTATGTCTACACGCTTACAAATCTGTTATTAATATCTCTATATATAATATATATATATATCGTCTGTTTCATATGACTATTGATGATACACGGTAATTGATCGCAGTAATATTATTTATTCGTTTCGATTTCCGTATAATGGAACCAGTGCGCTATGTCTACATGTTATATTGTAGGCGCCTGTGCGCGTTTTTGGACAATAACAACTGCAACAAAGACGTCGATACTAAATTTAATGGGTTTAGGTAAAGACTGGCGCTCCCCTTCAAAATTATATTTTATAAATATGTCGCCGGCATTTAGTGCAGAAGCAACGGTCCAGCGAGGTATAGTATTGTCCCGCCGTGCTGTCGCCATTCACCATCCCAGTACAATCGTGCCAAGTCCAAAACGAAACCGGCTCTCATATTTTATGTGCATCAATGTTACATACTTACATTTGTACAGGGTGCAAACAACTGATTTGTACTTGTTTCATTTGTAATTTAATGTAAGTAATTATATTTTTGTAAGGACGTGATTTTGTGAGGGGCTGTTTCATATAGTGTCAACCGACCCCCAATGGCAGTTGTACTAGTAATAGGTAAAAAAGACCAAAGAAAAAAAGAACAGTTCTTAAAAAAATATTACAATAATTATATAAAAATGAAGAATGAAAGATATATACTCTTATATTCTTTCATATAATTGTATGAAATAAAAAACGAGATTTTTTAAAATAAATAAAATTTTTTTATAATTTAAAATTTTTAAATATTTAATTGGGGCCCAACCAAAAAATCAAATGCATACACGATCTAAGCATTCCAATCAATTTGCCTACGTATCATTGCCAAAGCTCCATGGTACGTAACGAATAAATTACTACACGATGACCTCCAAATCAAAACTGTCCAAGAAACATCCACCAACTTCTATAAAAGATTTCATGGGAAACTCCTCATGAACCATAACCACCTCATCTCTCAACTGGCCTCAAAAACTCTTCCAGATAACCCCACAAGACGTCTCAAACGCAGCTGGTGCAGAGACCTGCTTAACCATTAAAATACATTTAAGAAAACTAAAAATTAATTAATTATTTATTTTTTTTTTTTTATAACTCCTTGTCTAAGGTGACTCGACTGCGAGTCTTCCTTCATGTCACTCAAAGTCTTTATATTACTTATATCATATTTACTTATTGTATATAATGTACAGATTGTGAATTCTCAATAAACGCCATAATTAAAAAAAAAAAATATTTAATTAAATAAACATTTTTTTTAAGAGGAGGTTGTGTCGTACCCGCGCATGTGTAGTATTGGTCTCGAATTGTGGAAGGAATAAAAATCGCCGGAAAAAAATCCCCAGACTACAATATTACTCACACAAACAAGTCATGGAAATTATTGAACTTTGTGTCAGGTTTGTGAGTGGCAAAATAAATATTCCAAATTATTTTAATTTAGTGAGCCATAATATTAGGAGAATATCTAATAATTAACAGTGTGTTAACTGTTGTTTGATAATTATTTTTACTTTTATTTTATAATATTTTAAATATTTTATTTATTTAAAGTAAAACTTGTAAAAACACTTCCTAATAATATTTTAAATTTTCAATCCTTAGCTGTAAAAATTGAATATTTTCTACATTTTAAGTAATGTTACTACACTTACTACACTTACACTAGGTAATTATAGTTAAAAAAATGTTTGTACAATAATTTGCATGCGTTTGTGAGTTATATTGTAGCTTGGGTTTTTTTTTCTCAGGGATTTTCATTCCAATTACCACGGGTACTACGACGTCCTCTAAAGCCTTCAAGGGGATTGGAAACTACGACCGTTTTTAAGGAGTTCAATATATGTAATTTCTATGTACATCCTGGCAGTATAATTGCGTACGTAGTAAGGCGTGATAACTAATTACAAATGTATGTATTTTTAATTTTCATGATCAATTATAAATACATTTAAAATTTTTAAAAATTGTTCTTCTTTTCCGGGATTCAGTTGTACCTATATAGAGTTTTAAATAAAATATGTGAGCGAGGGCATCAAGGATTGCCTTGTAAGTTGTAATGCTACATCAAGATTCATCCGCAATTTTCGTTTTTTTTTTTTAAATGTAAAAAATTAGCACACTCTCTAATAAATTATTGGTATCATACGTTAATTGATATTCAGAAAAAAAGAAAAGCCTCGAAATCAAATCCCCAGTAAAAGTGTACTTTGTTGTTTGTTGGTAAGGAGATATATTTAAATCATGTGATTCTCAAAAATATTAATGGTTAGGGGATGGATGATGTCCTACGGTTGGAAAAGCTAGTTGGAACGAAATTAAAGGTAATTCAAGAATTATTTTATCACTAACAATCTATAAATTCACTATGTGGAGAGCAATAAAAAAATGTTTAGTGTAGGCGGTATAGAAATATTAAATATGAAAAAAAAAACTTAAGCCGCTTCTATATTCTTTAGTTTTCTATATAATAATGTGTACCTACGGAGACGAAACTCTTTTTCCAATTTTCCATCCTGCGAGTGTTATACATTTGTATTATACATGCCACATGGGTATATTGCGTATGATGAGAGTACCGCTGGATTGAGAATGACAACAGCAGTAATACAGCATAATATTATGTAGGTATTATACTTATATAATATATTATACTACGTGTTTCACACATAGTAATAATAATGCGCATTGTAGCAGGCTGTGGCGCCAGTTCACCACAGGGACCTGTTGAGTCCATCGCATACATACTATATAGTAGGTATAAATATATTATACCTATATATTATTGTGTACGTCCGGCGGCGGGCTGCACGAGGTTATTGTGATGAGAATGTGGGTTTTGAAATTTGAACCATTCATAGTCGGCGGGC